TAATTTTAATTGAGAATATCTGTAATATACAAAATTCAATGTATTTCATAAAAAATACCTGAAATGTATAAATAAATTTGTTGTTCAGGTACAAGGGTATTTTGGTGGAAATGTATATGGGCTTCTTTATAAATCAAGTAACTTTTCAAAAACAATTGATATTTTTATTGAAAGGAAGTTAGTTTCATGGTGGATATATGTATCATGTTTGTATTACAGTATCAACTCATCAACTTGTATGTTAATTTGCTCAAGTATATACCTGCAAAAATAAATGAATTTTTATGTCATTAATTCATATGTGTAAAAAGACCTGTATGTATAGTTTATGATATAAAATATAGAGAATGATTCATAAAAAGGCAACATTTTCAAAGTTATAGATCCTTTTAAACAAATTACTAAATTTAAAGGAATGACTGACCTAGATTGAAATAAATAACAAATACCTTAAAAATTCTTCTCTATAACCTGCTATCAATTTTCTAAATATGTATACATTGTTATACCAGCAATGTGTATTACATGTACAATAAAAATAAAAACTACTCTATAATTTTAAAAAATTGCACTTCTAATTCTGAATACAACTTTGAACCACAGCTGTTATGTGTGAATCTGTAAAATGAAAGAAAAAAAACCAAAATGTTGCAAAAAATAGTTTTGTATGACATGTACAACTTTATCTTATCACAGCACCTTTGAATATACTAGAAAACCTAAATCTAAATATTTTGTAAAATAAACAAATATTAAGTTTTACAAAATCTAAGAAATCTTGTCTGCCAAAGAAGAGCATATATAGGAAGCATTTACTGTGTAACTAAAATTCACATGAGATTACTTAAGATATGCCTGTCCTGTGTCATTTCTCTTGAGAAGAGGAAAAACATTATACCTAGCTGGCTCCACAATTACAGCATCTAATTAAACAGTGAACACAGATAAATAAATAACATGAGACACTAGTATTGTGTGTTGAAATAAGATTTATAAATATTGTACAAAATAATGATTGATTTATTGGATCTAAATTCAGCTTTTAAAAAGTATTCTAAAGTATATGATTATTTTTTGGTTTTTCTCTTCTTTGGTACCAAGAATCAAACTCATGACCTCCTGTTTGCCAGCCAGGCACTGTGTTGTTGAGCTATATACACAGCCCTATGAATTTTATTGACAGTGTGGACATAGTTGTCATAAACAAAACAGAATATATGCATAAAACATTAATTAATGTGTGAATTTAAAATTGCTTTATCATTGTACATAAAGAAAATATCAGAAATATAATTACTTATGTATGTTACTGTCAAAAAATTTTATATTAAAGTAAAGTGCGAGACATTTTCCACAGTTTATTTTCAATTTATAAACTGTGGATTTTAATTAAAAAATACATCTTAATAGTATTTGTTACGGTAAAACTACATAGTAATTTTTTGGAACATCCTATCTCAGTTCTTGTTTTCTACTCCCACATGATTGGGGTTATGTTTCATAATAAACAAATAATGATGCATTTCTTAAACATCAGGGAGTGTGAAGAGCTTTTTGTTTTTCTTTTCAGTCATAAGAATAGAAATAAATTGTCTTTTAAAATTTATAAAGAAAAGAAAATCGACTACATCAAAAGTAAGTTTTAGTGATCAATGTGGTGGAAAAAAATTATAATCAACATAAAAACCTCAAAAGATTATTTTCTGTCATCTACCTATTAAGAAGAGTTTTTGGCTGGGAATGGGGACTTAGGTTAGCAGCATAAGTGCCTGCCTTGCAAGGGTGCAGTCATGAGTTTGGTCCCCAGTACCACAAAAAAAAAAAAAAAAAAAAAAAAAAAAGAGTGGTTGGTAATTACAAGTTTTTTATGATATTTATGTTGGTGCATGTTCTAAAACATTGGGGTTTTTTTTGTTCTTAAAACTACCTTGCACCCTGGATAACTTTCAGAGGGCAGTTTGTTTAGCTCCAACTCACTTTCAAACACTTAGTGATGATGCTTAGTCTCTCAGCAAGCATGTAGACATATTAAACATCAGTGTGTAGAACAAGAAAGCTTTGGATTACATCAGAGTTGTTGACATTCATAGGGAGCAAACAGAGAGAACACATTATAAACTCTGTTACTGGAATTCATTCATTTTTAATTTCAATTACTGGATTAATGCTAAATAAAACACAAGGTTCATTGGATATCATTTTTAATGTATTTTTTAGTTTTTTTATAATGGGAAATCTAGATTACAAAACTAATGATCTTAGACAAATTGTGAAATTACAATTCATTCAAAAATGGGTAAAGTAATGGAACTGCTACTGCTAGAAAGTTATATCTCACTGCAGATTTCAATAGTTGATGTCCTGGAATCAGTCTAGGACAAGAAAAATAACACATTATCAAAATCAGATGGTTGTGTTCTACAAATTTTATTTGTCAAGCATGCTGCATGGATAAAATTCACATACCATAATACAGATGCACAAAATTAAAATTATTAAATTTAATCATAGTGACTATGAATCCTATTCCTGGGTACTTACATGCTGTTATCATTTGAAACCATATGTCATATCTAGAGCATGACTTCAGCCATGAGTTATAACTGTCCAAACTTTTCATCATTGTTTTTACGTAATTACCCAAATTGCAATATCTTTCAACTTAAATCACAGAAATTTGATAGAATATGTTTAGGAGTTGAAGAAATGAAATAAGTGAAATACATATCTAAGACAGTAATTGGTACAAAGAGGACCCCTCAAAAATAATACTTTCAATTTCACTTTCTATTTTTCAAATGTATGTTCTGCAAAATATTTTAATGGAAGAATGGTTCTAAGCAGCTCTCAATTTTGGCTATGTATTTCTTACACATATAAATTAACAAAACTTATTCTAAAATAGTTTTTGTACTGAAAAATGTTAGTCATAAAAAATAAATGTTTATTCTTTCAGTGAGAGGTGTTAATGGATGATTATCTGTGGATTTGTTCACTTAAATTTGTAATATAAATACGTATGAAAACTTTTTATTTCCAACATTTAATTGCTATTGTAAAAAGAGAGGAAAAGAAAGTGCTCTAAAGGATATAACTGCATGTATGTTTAAGTGTATAGGATTGATAACCTCATTACTAAGTTTTTGTTGGGTAGTTGAACAGATCTGTTTGCAGTCTCGCTGTTCGAATGGCCACTTTGTATGCTTCACTTTTGTAACTTGAACAACTATTTGTAAGAGGACAATATGTAATTATCAACTAGTGATTTCTTACTGTGTATTTTTTGAAATTACGTATTATTTTCACCCATTTTTGTTTTGTTCTTTATTTTTTAAATTAAAAAATGCTTTTCATAAAACATGTAGACACTTATGCTAGAGAAATACATCATGTAGATGTATTTATACATAAATGTACTTCTATACAATGACAGCTTTCTATTTTTTCTGAAAAAGTAACTAAGAAAATTATATCTAAAGTAAATATTTTCTAGCTTTTTAAAATGAAAAAATTCTGCCACGACTTCTTGTTATCTTATAGCCTACTAAGACAGTTTTATTTCTGTGCATGAATATTTCCATTCAGATGAACATTGAACTCAATGTTAGTATCATCATAAAACTTCATTTTGAAAATATATTTCTCCATTTAAAGTGGAATGCTTGTGACATTTGATAACAGTAATATTTCATGTAACTGGCTGAATTTCATCAGCAATGAATTCTTATTGTACTTGTTGACACTTTTATTATGTATAATTTTTAAGAACATACATGCCATATTTGAATTTTTAAATACAAGACATCTTTTTCAATGTTCATTTATCTCCTTAGAATCTTGAAATATCAGTGAATATAAGACTTTTCTCCTGGAATTAATTATAAATTGCAAAGTGTACATAAAGTGTTGAAACATGAAAAATGTAGCACAAAATGTAAATATTCAAATAACTTTTAGTATTGAATTAGTCTGCCTATGTTCCTAAATTCATACTGAAATGATAGAAATGAGTATGAAACAACTATAAGACAATCGCATAAAATACATAATTTTTAACATGTGAGAAAATCAAAGTTACCATCTGATAACTCACTGATTTTAAGACATTTCTTTTAGTTAATTAAATTTTAAAAATAGCCAGTAGCTCATTCTCAATACTTGATTTTGATAATTTAACTAATTCATGAAGGAATTTGTCTTATGTTTAATGAAAAGTTTCTTAGCTTTTTAATACAAAATGTCATCATGGGGAAGGTTATTAATTTAAATAATTTCATAAAATTGCAAACTATCCAAAAATGAGAAAATTTTAAAAATATTTAATTTTTTGTTTTTATCAATGCCTTCTTACTGTCTGTTCATATACTCAAGAATAATACTCATAAAATATCTCAGAAACTTCAAAAAGAGCTGAAACCAAAATTTTCTCTGTTAACTAAATTTGAGCCAATCTATTAAAATGATAGCTTATAAATACAGTTGATAAACTCTACCATTCATATACTTTTTAAATGTAGTACATTTAATCCAAGAAAAGTGTTCTTTGGATATACGACATACATAAAATATTACTCATATAAACCACTTTTCTATTGAGAAATATTTCCAATAAGCAGGACAACAGATATAAAATTAGAAAATATGTGCTTTTAATGGTGAAATATAAAAAGGTACATCCTCAATAGATATTAAGCATTTGTTATGTGTATTGTACATCTCTGGGAGAAAAACACTGAACTCATTCAAATCATAGATAATCTGTATCATAAAATCTTTCATAGCATAACAGGAATTTTATGAAGAGACAAAAGGCTAATTTTACAATCTCTAACATCACTTAATTGCAGGCCTATTGTAGTAAAACATTCATGCAACTGAATGAGTATCTTACCTTAACTCTATGATTAAAGTAGAAACATTAATATTATGTATTATTTAACTGTGCATACCCTTTAATGATTTGCATTCTTAAAATTGTTTCCAAAAGTATGGAACATCCCTTTTCATGGTTATCTTAAATGTACTGGACATCTTCAATATCTCTATCTCTGAATGAGACAGAATCTGTTTTTACTCTTACGGTGCAACTGTTTCATTAAGCTTTAATAACTTTTCTAAAGACTTTATTCTTTATGTACTGCAACTGAGATAACTGCTTCTCCAGCAGAAGAAAAATAATGCAGTCAACATGTAGCATAATGAGAGTGAGAAAAATAAATGTAGACAATTCCATCACTTAACTTTATTAAGAAATAGTATTATTTTTTTGATTTTTCAGATAAATTTTTCTCATTTAGACACAGAATAAAAGGTTAAAGAAGTGCTATACAAACCATAGATTTCATAGTGGGCTTTAAATCATTGTGCAAAAATTTCATAAGTTTTATTAAGTTCTCATTTCTCTTTGTGCCCTTTATAATAAATAAATATACTTTCCAAAATTCATTACTTTACAGAAAGTCATCTTATTGGTTCTGTATGTCTTGCATAATTATGCAAATACTTAACTATTTATCTAAAATTGATATTTCACATGGATTCCATTATTTGGCTTGGGGATAAACATACTGTTATTTTTCTAACCCCATTCTTCATATATTGTATAATTATAGACATGATGAAATAGTATGAGCTTGAGTGCCTAATATGAAAATTACAGTTTTGGGGGGAATAGGGAGCATATTGTTTTATGGAGGGTGGATAACTTAGTGCCATTTAATGGATTTGGTAAGCCACAGATTTTCCCAAATGAAGCTGGAATTCTCAACACCATGAAGAGCTGCTTATGAGATTTTAAAAACTTTGTGTGGGATAAGTATCTCAAACTTTTCTGTTGTCTTACACAATGTTAATTAGGGCAATGCTAGAAGCTTTGCTGTGGAATGTTTCCAATATACTGGCTTCATATCATCACCTGTAGACAAAATTGCCTCTGTTAGAAGCATTATCTTCGATTTACATGTCTTACAATAATCATTTATTTTGTTAAGATTTTTTTTCATTAAATTTAAATTAACTCATGCTTATTTCAAAGATTTTGTGCATTATGATTGCACATATCTATCAAATCAATATTTTGCAAACATTTACATTAGTTGAAAATAATAAAAATATAAATATTGGTTGTTTAGCTAGAAACTTGGATTACCTACCAGTCTCGTGTGTACAGATACAGGGGTCTTGAACATTGCCACTGGATAGCTGCATTCGGATACACTGTATGGATCAGAATTGCTGGAGGAACACTTGGAGATGGAATCACAGACCACAAATGTGTTATCAAGGGGTAGTTCCTGAATGATGTGATGCTTGGAACTCAAGGGAGTTTCAGGCTGGATCTGGAAGGCTGGCTGTGGAGAGGCAGATTTGTAGTGCTGGGCCAAATCAGGACTATCAGGTTTGAAGGTAGTTGGTGTAGTAACCCAGTTATACTTGGTCACGTTTTGTTCTTCCAGCTCAATAGGGAGGTCTAGTGTGATGCCACTTCCATCATTGTTAGCATCTTCTGCCTTCGTTTTTTCAATAGTGACAAAGTTAAACAACAAGTTTTTAGGGACATGCTTCTTCATTTTGCTTTTCTTTTTCTTCATAATTATCATCTGCCTATTTTCTGGGTTTGGAGTAACCCATTCAGAATTCTGTTTGGTATTCTGAGTAGAGTTAAACTGTGTTGATTGGTAACATCTTACTACAGCAGTGATGAAAATCACTAGGATGACAATTATGGCGCCAGCAACAATAGCAATCATTATTTTAACATAGTCACTTGGTGAGGGTAAATCAGCTTTCTCAATATTCTCAGTCACTGATGTTTCTATGCCTTTGTGCACCAATTCATGAATCAGTGTCAAATTAGAAACTGACTCATTCACAAACAAATTCACAACCACAATACTGAAGAGAGAATTAGGTTGTCCTAAGTCCTTAACTTTAACTACTAGTCTGTGTAAACCAAGGTCTGCAATAACACATTTCTCCTTCAGTGTAATATTGCCTGTTTTTTGGTCAATTACAAAGAGCCCTTTTGTATTTCCTCCTACAATACTGTAACGAAGCTCAGAATTCAGGCCAGTGTCATTGTCAGTAGCAACTACTTTGAAGATCACTGTGCCTGGATTAGTGGATGGTAGAACCAATTCATAGGAGTGGTTAGAAGAAGGGACAACAAAACCTGGTTTGTTGTCATTGACATCAACCACATTTATGGTTATTTTAGCAGTTGAAGAATGTGATACCCTACCACCATCCTCAGCCTTTACATAGAAAGTATATGATTCTTGTTTTTCTCTATCAAATGAAATATTTGGCCTGATGACACCTGTCTGTGGATCAATGGTGAACTCATCACTCATATCTGAAATGGAGAGGGTAACTGCAGAATTCTCTCCATAATCAGGATCTGTCACAGTAATTAGTCCTACTGTGCCATGTCTTGGAAGGTTTTCTGGAACATAGAAATTGTACTCATTGTGAGTGAAAACTGGACTGTTATCATTCTGATCAAGAACAGTAACAAAAACTGTTGCATTGGTCATTAAAGATGGTATCCCATTATCTTTTGCCAGAACAGTGAAATAGTATTTTTCCTGTTTTTCTCTATCTAGTTTATTCACTGCAGTCAGGACACCTGTGCGTGGATCCAAGTTGAATTCAGATGGAGCATCCACACCCAGAAGGTAACTGATTTCAGCATTTTGCCCATTGTCTGCATCTGTTGCACTTATTTTTGTCAACTGAGTGCCAGGAGAATTATTCTCTGGAACAGAGAGACTTATGAAGAGTTGAGTGAAAACAGGAGCATTGTCGTTTTCATCTTTCACTTTGACGAGGAGCAGTGAAGACTGATTCAGAGAGGGTTTCCCAGCATCTGCAGCAAGTAATTTAATAGCGTATTCCCTTGTGGACTCATAGTCAAGGTATGCAGCAGTTTCGAGGAGGAACTGATTGCTGAACACAGGCCTTAATCTGAAAGGAACTTCATTATCTGTAAAGCACGTCACCCTACCATTGTGCTCAGCATCTTTATCGGTCACAGTTATTAAAGCAACTTTAGTGTTCAGTGGAGCATTTTCTGAAAGAATCACAGTGCCATTGGTTGGACTGATGATATATCTAATGTCAATTGATGGGATATTATCATTAACATCTGTAATATTTACCAGCACTATTGCTCTTGCAGGTACTGATCCACCATCACTGGCCAAAACAAGTAATTTGTGGCTTGGTGCTTCTTCTCTATCCAGTAGTTCTTTAATTGTGATAAGTCCAGTGGTAGTGTTAAGATGAAATAATTTCTTAGCAATATTTGATATTAGATTGCTGAAATAGAAATGAATCCTGGCATTTTCACCAATGTCAGCATCTGTTGCATGGAGCTGTGTTACTGAAGTGCCAATGGGAGCATTTTCTGGTATACTAACTTCAATTTCCTGCTCCCTGAAGACAGGATGGTTGTCATTAGTATCAGAAACACTTACTTGCAAAATAGCAGTACTTGATCTTTGAGGAAAACCACCATCTTCAACCTTTACTTTCATCACATATGTATCCTTCTCTTCCCTATCTAACTCCCTTTGTACTATTAGTTGTGGCATCTTATCTCCTTCTGGTGTTTCAATGACATCAAGTCCAAAAATATTTTGGCCCTGGAAAATACAAAATATTTTTATTTATGTTAATACATATTAAATACATTAAACTAAAATGGATCAAAAATCTAAATATTAAAATAGAAACATTAAAGCTGATGGAAGATAAAATAAGCAAAACACTGGAATATATAGATGTAGGGAATTATTTTCTAAATAGAACCTCAATTGCACAAGAAATAACAGCAAGAATTAACAAATGGAATTACATCAGATTAAAAAAAATTCATACCGCATAAGAATCAATGAGTAGACTGAAGAGACAACCCTACAGTTTGAGAAAAAAAAATTCTGTCAAATATGCTTCAAGTAGTGGTCTAATATTTAGAATATACAAAGAAATCGATGAAATTGAATCACTTAAAACCAAAGACCAAGAAATAGGCATGAGACATGATCAGAAACTTCTCAGAGGAAGAAATACAAATTATCAACAAATATATGAAAAAATTTTCAACACCTTGGCCATTAGAAAAATGCAAATTAAAACAATACTAAGATTGCATCTCACTCCAGAAAGAGTAGCAAGTATTAACAAATCAAAATATAGCAAACACTGAGAAGGCTACAGTAAAAAATAAATCCTACTTTATTTTGGGGGGAATACAAACTAGAAAAACTATTATAGAAATCATGAAGATTTCTCAAAGAACTGAAATTAGAAATCCGTATGACCTAGTTATCTCCCTGCTAGGTATCTTCTACAGATATTTTAAACATCATACTACTGCTATACATGCATAAAAATGTTTATAGCAGAACAAGGTGCAATAGCTAAACCTAGAAGCAGCGTATATATGCATTAACAGACAACTGAAAAATAAAGTATGTTATCTGTGTATAATGGAACATTAACAACAAATTTGAGATATTTGTTCAAGTACCTGGAACATGTCATGCTAAGTGAAATGAACTGGACACCTAAGACTAAATGCCATATTGAATTTCTCATTAAAATGAAAGAAAGTACAAAGCAAATAATAAAGGACAGATATAAAGGAACAAGCGAATGAATATCTTGTAGTAGGGAAATAGTCCAAGGTAACAAGGTGTGGAATAAGGAGGAGGGGAAGGGGAAATAGGTAGAATAAATTATGCCTTGTATGGTAGCCTAGTAACCTCAATCAATATAAGCATTATATGTCATAACATGAGTGATGGTTAATAATGTCAACAAGAATGAAAAACGAGATATCTACTAATAAACTTTTAATTTTTTTTTTACCTTTTACCTTTGTAATACTGTACAAAGAATAATTTCAAAAGAAATCACAGAAATAACAAGTTTTAATGTTAATACAATAAAAGTTACAATACCAATAGGTAGTAAAATTTTGCATTCTCATTTTAAGCTTTTTTTTTTCAGAAAAAGTTATTGCAAATGCTATGTACACAATATAATTCCAGGCATTACTTATAAAATATATAACCCCACTTTTGACAAACAATGTATGTACAGTTCAAAAACAAAACAAAAATTCAAAGAAGTTAATACCATATATAAATTTCATCCAAGAATAATTTACATAGGTGTGTCTACATTTTTTTGATTTAGCTATTCCACCAAAGCCTAATGCAGTCATAGGTGTGGCTGTTTCAGAGGTGGCTGGATGTAAAGTGTATGATTAATTCATGGTACAATGCTCAAATTAAGGGTATGTAATTAGAAATCAATCTACCGATTGGTGTAGCACTGCCCTAATCCTAGTAGTCAACAGAATACAAAAGGGACAAAAAAAAAAAAAAAGAACTCCTAAATTCCTTTTGTTGCTTTTGTTACCTTCCTTCAACCAAGAAACTGTTTCTGCTCTGTGATGCCTGTCTAACATGCCATGGTGCTTTACTGTCAGCTGATGACAGACTACAACCTCTACAAACTGTAAGCTAAATAAAATGTTCCTTTCTTAACTTGTGGGTCTTGGTTACTTTTTGTCAGTAATGAAAAAAATGTAACTAATACAATTTGGTACTGAGAAAGGGGTAATTTCAATGACTATACCTATGTGGTTTAATTGCCTTTAAACTGGTTTCTGGGAAGAGAGAATTAGAAAAGGTTTAGAGATACCAACTACAAAAATAAAGCTGGAATGCCTTAAGATACACTTGGCTAGAGATTCTAGTCACAGTTCAGAAGACCAGATTACTGGCAGAATTCTGATAGTAAGGATCAGACTAAGGAGGTTTCTGCTAAGAAATATTGAAAAGAAAAAAAAAATCTAAGAAAAGAACAAAATAAGCCAGGGATATAGCTCAGTCACATAAGCTCCTGCCTATCAAGCACAAGGTAATGAGTTCAATCCCCAGTACAAAAAGAAAAGAAAATCTGCATTGGCTTTTAGACTCCAGACTGTTTTATTATGGCTTAGCAGGAAGTTGGTCTACATTTTGATCATTTCTGGAGACTACTTGAGAGTGATTAATTAAGGCAGCAGATTAATTAATCATGCAGAAGAATTATCAAGGCAGTCTAACATTGACGTGGTTGATACATAGCTATTGCTGGGGTCTTTTAGCCAGAATTATGTTTAAAATCAAGAACATAGAACCCAGGAAAATGATTTAAAGTGTTTTAAGTTTGGACAGAAAGAAAGCTACGGTAAGTTGTACATTTCAATGGTAAAACAGAGAAAAAAATTTCATCACATAAAAAAAAAAAGAATAAAATCAAACATTTAAAAAAAGATAAAAGATGGCCTTAAGAAACTATAGGAGTTGGGGCTGGGGATTTAGCTCAGAGGCATAAGCTCCTGCCTTGCAAGCAGGCCATCATGAGTTCGATCTCCAGTACTGATAAAAAGGAAAAATACAAAAAAAAAAAAAAAAAAAAAAAAAAAAAAATTGTAGGCAGTCAACAGGACTACAGGCTCTGCTATCTTAGAGCTCCAAAGGTAAAAGACTTTGTTTTGAAAAAAAATTTAAAAAAAAACTAAGATTATCAAGTTTCAAAATGGCTTTAGCCTAACAAAGTCGTTCCTCAAAATTTAGTTCATAAGCACTGGACCCCTACAGCTAAAAGAAAGCCTGCTTTAGCTGACTCATACTTTGACATCATCCATGTGGTGATAATTATAGGTGAATGCAGAAATGCAAGATTTGTGAGATCAGAAAGATTTCCAACCAGGTTTCAGAAGAAGGCTTGGGACGCCAGGCAGTATGTCTCTGAGAGTGCAGTTTGTGAAGATGTGAGCATGAAGCCAAAAGTTCTGTGGAGGCCCTAGAAGTTTAGAAAAGCAAATATATATATATATCCAAATAACCTGAAAAAAGCTGAGAGTACTGGTCACGGCCCTCACAATGTGTTACAGATTTCCAGGAATGCTAAAAGTAAAACTGTGAGACTTAGTATTTATCCTGCTGGATTTTACATTTGTGTTGGTCCCATTCCTTTAAATTCCCCATCTATACCTTTAGAAATGATAATGTTTATCATGTATCATTATATGTTAAAGTATGTAACTTTCTTTTAATTTGTACAGGGGCTTACATTAAAAAGTTTACCTTAAATTTCAGAAGAGACTTTAGTCAGGCTTTTCAGTAGTGCTAAAACTAATGACTTTAGAACTCTTAGAGACAGACTAAATGATTTTTACATAAGGAGATGTACATGAGTCTTTGAGGGGTCAGGGGAAGAAACTTATGGTTTGTATTTAGATGACTTCCAATGCCTCATGTGGTTATATGTGGGGCTTTTTCAGAGCCAGTTAGATCTAAAGTGTGTAATTGATTCCTGATGCAATGCTGAAATTAAGGATATATAATTTCTAAATTAGTATAATAATTGGTTTTGGACGGCCCTAATTGTGATAGCATAGAGTATGATAAGGAAAAAAAAAAAGGTGTTATGTCCCTTTTTTGCTTCTGTTATCTTCTACTAACTAATTTTTTTCCTCTGTGATGCCTGTCTGCCATGCCATTGGCCTTAGAGCCAGCTCATAATAGACTAAAACTTCTACAAACTATAAGAAAAATAACCCTTTTCTCTTTTAGCTTGTTTGTCAGACATTTTGCCTGAACAATGAGAAAAAGGTAATTAAAACAATCTGGTGTACTGATTTAGAGTACTGACACATGTAACATTGATCACTGGTATACAAAATTGCCAGCACAATTTCAGATCAAGAAAAATTTATGGAATTTGTAGCAATCTCATGTAATGCAAAATATTTTATTTCATTTGTGAATGATATCTTTCTAAATAAGCTTTGGGTTTGCAAATATAGGACAAAAATGCTGAAACAAGCAAATCTGATAAGTATAGAAACATTCACACCAAGCATGGTGTGATAACGCATGCCAGGTGGTGCATTAGGTAAGTGATAAATCAAGCACTCTGGGAGACTGAGACAGAAGGATGCAAATTTAAAGCCAACTTGTACAACTTAACAATTTAGGAAGACAATGCTTCAAAATAAAAACTTAATAATAGTTGTGTAGGTAGCTCAGTGAAAAGCCCAAGGGTTCCATCAGTGGTACAAGAAAAATTAAAAAGGAGATATAACTTATGCTGGATATAAAATTATCCAGAGAAACATTTTTTGCTTTGAAAAAATTAAATAGAGAATACTTGTTGCTAAGTGAATTGCATTGTAAAGATCTACATGTAATATCTATTATTTCAGATAAAAATTAACTGAATCAACCACTGCAGTAAAATTTAACATTTTTCCATGCTCAAATGAAAGTCACCTATTCACTGCTTATCAAATGCTAATAAATAGTGCAGCACATTTGAGCTATAAATCTGGTACAGTGATCCAGAAAATGCATATATTTCCACTACTAATAGAAATTGTTCCAAAGGGTTTGGATTCCAGAACTGATTAAATAAAAGTTGTTTTTTCTATACATCCAGGAATGCTGGTTGAAAAAAAGTATTTCTAAATATTTTGCCACTGCTTGCTTTGTGAATATTTTTTTCTTCATTTTTTACACATAAAAATGCATCTGTTTTCACAGAAATGGAAGAACATAATTTCAAGTGAAGAAAATCATAATTACATGGCAATTTAAAAATCAACAAGGAAATATATTTCACATTCTCAATTTAAATATAATCAGTACAATAATAAAATTTACTTTAAATTTTGTGTGGTTTGTTTTTGGAAACTTACTAGCAAGCATAATATTGCTTATACAATTGATGATGTGATGTCATTCAGATTCTATGCACTGTTTCTGGAACATATCTGTGCCTATTCATTTGTAACTTTGTCAAGGGAAATACAATAAAAATGTGTTATAAATAACTTCAGCTGCTATTCACATATTTATCAATAACCCTAAGTTCACCAAATTCTTCCTTATTTTAAAGTTATATTACAGAAAAAGAATAATATGCAAAAAAACACCAAATGCTTTTAGAGGTAATAGATTTGCACTAAAATTTTAATGGCAGTTGTATACATAAAATGTGTAAGATACCATATATTTTGTGTACTTTAATTAGTGGCTTCACAAAATCTGTTAGCAAGGTATTATTTATTCAATAAAGGTGTTGTTTTTTCTTCTCTTCTAATTATCCCAAATTTTTTGGAATAATAAAACAAAATTTTTTCCTCTGTTTTATAATATTTCAATGATAACTTTATTTTCCTTTTGACAAAAATGTAGTCAGCAAGGAAGGTCCTTAAAATGACTTTTTTGTACCAGGCTTTTTCTTACCGCATATTCTCTCTTCAGATCGTTTTAATATATAGTAGATATTATTGTCTTTTCATGATTGTATGCAAATGTCATTTGTTTACTCTCAGAGAGTAAACAAATATTTGATTACATTATGTGGAATATATATTCAATTTAAAATATTTCATTGTGCAAACAGATTCATAATGTTAAATGTTAGAAAAAGTGAGATTTAATTGATATCAGGATTTCTATAGCCATGATCACAGATTTAAAGGTGAAACAAATCCATTTGTCAGTTTTTCATTTTTAAGTCTGCATTATTCATTTTGTTTTGAAAAAATAGATTTTAACTTTCAGGAAAAAAATACTCTTAAACAGATGATTAACAGTTTAACCAATCTGTGGTATGAAAGAAACAAAAGACATACTTTTATTCACTCTATAAACCTTGCAGGTGGAAAATTATCACTTTCCCTTTCTTTCTGCTTCTGACATTTTCTCTATTTAGTTTATGTAACTTTCAAGGTTTCAACATGCCTTGTGACTTAGAAAACCACTATGTATATATTATACTTCACCCAGATATTTTAATATTTTACATTTTATTGAAAAATACTTTCTTTTTAGGAATATATTTTCAAGAATGTGATTTTAATCATTGCTTTTAATTGAAAAGTCATGTAAAACAAATGAAACATGTCATTTAAATGTTGCTAGTCAGCTCTTTTCAGCAGCTGCTCCTTTGCATTTGAGTAAAATGAATAGATTTATGAGAAAATAAAGATCATATACTGAATTCCTGAAAATCAATATTACAATGGACTTTATTTTCAACTAAACTGACTCCCCTCTTTCAAAAGAGGACACTGGGACTCAGCTCTCTTTCAAAAGAGGACACTGGGATTCAGAAGAGTTCTATGACTTGTCTGTAATTACACAGTTTACTGAAGCGTCAGATTTAAATGCCAAGTCTCCTATGAATTGAAAGGCTTTTTCACTAACCTACAACTACTTCTCAAAAAGAAGGTCTTTCTGGCACTGGAGAAAAACTCTGTAATGTGAAGAGTTCTCAGTTTGAGTTAATTACCAAGTAATTAGTACCATTCAAAACAAAATAAATGCAACTAAAAAGGTGTTTCTTGGCTTTAGAACACTGAGCCTGGTTAAAAACAAGTTTCTTCCCTGATTTCCTCAAAACATCTGTAATCTCATCACCCTGGGAGGCTGAGGCAGAGGTGTCATAGATTTGAGCACAATGTGAGCAACTTAACAACTTAGCAAATAATAGCTAAAAATAAAAACATAGGGTTGAAGGTATAAATCAGTGAAAAGGCCAAGGGTTGAATGCCACATACCCGCCAAACAAAGCACCAAAAAGTAAAAGCACTTTAACTACTAATGAAGTCTTCCCAAAACTAATTAACATTTCCAGAAGCAGTATTTTTGCGATGCAACAACCATCAAATATATCAAAGAAGTAAGGAAAACTTTTACAACCAACTAATCGACTCTTTACGGACTCATAGAGAGGCTAAACCAAAAGAGGCCTAGGTTGCTTATGAAAGCATGGATATGTTCAAATTGTTACAGGCAGATGAGTTAGTTAGAAATCTTATAGGAATTGAGATAGGGCTAAGTCCTCAGTGCAGCCAGTGCAGACACCTGGCAACTGCAGGGGATCCCGACTGATGCCTCCTGCTGTGGGCCAAGCCTCAAGACAAAAGGCCAAACAAATGCACTCATATCCTGAGGACTGATACTCTAAATAGCCCCCATCACCCTAGGGAAGTGTCACTGCTTCTAAGGATGCCCACTTTCTACATGACTCCCTTCCCCATTGTCCCTAATGTAATCAGTATTGCCTGAACTATCGATCTTAGTGGCTACCTATAGTTATGTCTCACCTCATGCCCATTTTCCTTGTGTGCTCCTAGTCTTCCTCCACCTCGAACCCATGGTTTTACTCTACAAAAGTCCCTGGAAACGACAGAGTCCTTAGCAACCTGCTCAGGATCCCTTCTGTCTCTCTTCAGACAGAAGCTTACTTTCTCTCGATAAATATAGGGGCTGAGGATTTAGCTCAGCGGCATAAGTGCCTGCCTATATATATATATATATATATATATATATATATATATATTCTGCTCTTAACCTCCATTGTTACTAAAATTCATTCTTCAGTATTAGAGAACGCGAGCTTGTACTGGAACAGTAGGTTGGGAGTTTCATTCCCCAAAATGATTAACAAATAGACATTTAGGTAAATATGACTAAGGATATACAGTGAATTTTTTTCATAACATTACAAAATAGTATAAAACTCAGGAGCTAAGAGCACTTGTGACAATTGAATCTATTAATGAAAAAAAACAATGCTCATATTAGTTCATTATACAATAACATCAACTTTTATATTTCAGTCATATCCAACATTTTCAATTTGTTTTAATGTGCTTAACTCTAGATGGTGCTAAATTAATCACTTCTTATATATTGTATCAAATAGCATAGAGATATTTTTAGTTTAATAATGTAACATTACTAATAAATCATATCATAAAATGAGATTAGAAATGTGGTTCCCTATAAAAAAGAATCAATATTTCTGTATTAAATCTCAAATTGTTTAACATACTCTAAAACATAGCCATAGTTAATAATTTTGTCATTGTATGTTTTATGTCTAAGCCTGAAAGGTAGATTGGTAAAAGGTACTGATATTTGACTGATACAAATATTCAATTTATACCATGGGAATATTTTATAGATTAAAAATGTGGCTAATGTTAGTGCTTAATGTGTTTTCTATGTATATAGATAGAGCATATTGAAAAACTATTGCTTAATTAATGAAATATAAATTCCTCTTTAAAATTAGAAATAAAATATCTCCCAAAATTTCTATCATTCGGCATTGTCCTCACCTATATACAGTGTTTTCAAGTATCCATATCCTGTCCTAGTAGATCTAATAATTTTCTGAAAAACAGCTTAAACTTGAGGCAAAAAATTCTACACTGATGCAGGACATGATTAAGAGCTGCATTTTAGGCATTCGTCCCAGGCCTGGGTTGCTGCTGGCTTTCCTTAGAGATATGGCTGTTCTTGGAGGGTCAAATGAAAGAGAATCAAAGGACTCTTTGAAAAGTCTTTAAAGCTGGGTGTGTTGGTGCACACTAGTAATCCTAGCACTCTTGAGGCTGAGACAGGAAGATCCCTGTGAGTTTGAGGCCAGCCTGGGCTACATAGTAAGTTAAAGACCATCCTGAACTAGCAAGACTTTGTCTCAAACAAAGAAACAAAGAAGTCTTTGGAGACAACTCGGTGTATAGATAGCTAAAAAGAAGTTAACCTTAGTGGGACTAAATAAATAGTTGAGGCAAATTTCCGTGTGTCATCAGATTTTATGCAGAAGTTGAAGAGCCTTTTCTTTGAATTTAAGAATTGTGTGCCTTTAATACCAAGATGAGTTTTCAGTTTAATTTCAACATGGAATACCATGCAGAAAGTGAATTGACACCCCTTGAAGGTGGAGTTTTGACTCTGGATCCCTCAAAAGTGTCATCTACCTCAGAAAGTCATAAAGGAAAACAGAAGGAGAAGAAACATCTTAGAGAACTGTCTGACCTGCATCCGAAGCACTTGGGGGAGTGCAGATCAATAGAAAATGTAACTCCTTCTCAAGATCCTGATAGCCTAGTCAGTGTGGCCAATAGTTCAAAGGACTTGGACCCAGATGAAAAGTAGCCCTGCCTGGGAGTTGCCAAAGAGCATGCCATACCTAAGGATTTAAAGAAAGTCATAGAAATGTTACCAGGTCTTCAGCATGTTAAAATATCAGTAATGAAAACTATCTGGTCAAAAGAAAACTTCCCTGGAGAAAACATAATTTCCAAAAGCTTTTCTTCTCACTCTGATCTGATTACAGGTGTTTATGAAGGAGGCTTAAAAATCTGGGAATGTACGTTTGACCTCCTGGCTTATTTTACAAAGGCCAAAGTGAAATTTGCTGAGAAAAAAGTGTTAGATCTTGGCTGCGGATCAGGATTACTGGGTATAACTGCATTTAAGGGAGGAGCCAAAGAAATTCATTTTCAAGATTATAACAGTTTGGTGATTGAGGAAGTGACTTTACCTAATGTAGTGGCTAACTGCACTTTGGAACATGAAGAAAATGGTGTAAATGAACCAGATGCAAAAAGATGCAGGAAGTCAAAAGTAGTGCAAGAACTGGGTAACTGTCGTTTATTTTCTGGAGAGTGGTCTGAGTTTTGTCAGCTTATATTAAGCAGTGAAAAACTCTTTGTAAAATATGATCTCATTCTTACCTCGGAAACCATTTATAATCCGGATTATTATACTACTTTGCACCAAACTTTAGTTAGACTGTTGAGTAAAGATGTACGGGTACTTTTGGCCAGCAAAGCCCATTATTTTGGTGTTGGTGGAGGTGTTCATCTTTTTCAGAAGTTTGTAGAAGAAAAGGATGTATTTGAGACTAGGACACTGGAAATAATTGATGAAGGACTAAAGAGGTTTCTAACTGAAATGACTTTTAAATATCGTAGTTAATATTCACTGAATGCCCTAAGAGGAATAAACTGAATGACCCAAAACTTTGAAAAAAAAAAAAAAAAAAAAAAAAGAGCTGCATTTTAAACATCCATTATATCTATATTAGCATCACTTATATCTTTTATATCACACTACTCATGAAAATAAGTGATTACATGAATTAGTAAATACACTGCAAATACTTTTGTTTGCTCTTCATTGTTATAGATATTTTGAATGCATTAGCATAGTCCCTAATAAATATAATTGAAACATATTTAAGTATCTAGTTAATGGCAATTCTTACAAAGCTAAATAACTATTGTGATAATGAAATGCAATTTGTATACAAAATAAAAAGTTCAGGCAGCTTGATAATTTTATGATTTAATAGTAAAACCTTGATTTTAGAGTAATGAGGTGGTAAAAAGTACATTGCTTCTTATTTATGTTTCTTAACTTCATAGTAACTGTATTTTTTCTACCTCTAGGAAGTTTACCAAATTAGAAGTAGGTCTTTGACCATAGAAAAATGACATTATCATATCAAATTCAGCATTTTTAAATGTTTAACGATCTACTATCACTCAAAGGATTTGTTTTGCATTTATAACCAGTGTTGTCAAAAGTTGATAAATTTTGACTTCATTAAACTAGTGTTTGATAATCAAAATACAACTTCAAAGGCAATCATCTGATTTCTACTTTAGTGTTCAAGCTTTTTTGGGCATGCTAAGAAGTGTATGAAAAGAATTTAGCACAACTCCATCTAACTCATTTAATAAACACTATAGTCAGTAGTTGAGTAAATCGTAACTTTTCTTATTATATTATCATTTTCAACAAAATACTTCCTCAAAATTCTCTACTTCAACACTTTTATAACTAGAATCCCAGAAAGTATTTTGAAAGCCTAGAATTATCCATAGGGTTAGTTTAACTGAAATCTCCTTTAGATGATACTTACAATTGTTAGTAAGCTCTCCTGTTTAGTTCAGATAAATGTTGCCACATACTTGCTCTTGGTTTCATTATCTTTCATGAAGGACATATTCCTTCTTATACTATTGTTGATCAAAGAAATATTTTGGCTTTATTAGAGTTGTTTTATATCTAAATATACACCCACAGCCTCCCATGCTCATAGGGCTTTTGGTAGGTAATATGTTCATGGATATGTAATACTCTTTAATGGATTAGTCTATTATGAGCATGTAGCTAGATGTGATGTTGGCAGGTAAAGCCTGATAGGAAGATGTGGGTCACAGTTTATACCTTGGAAGAACATTTCTCCCTCATTCATTTCTAGATTGTTCTCTGCAGTTTCTGCCACCAGGCCACGAACTACTTCTCCTCATCCATGCCCCTTGCCTTGCTGAACTGCTTTGGAGATAGACCTCTACAAAGGTGAATCAAAAATAAATCTTTCTTCCATCAAAGTTTGGTGTTTGGTACTGTGTCTCAGGTATGAGAAAGTAAGACACTAGGTATCACAAATTTTAATTATTGGACATTCAAAAAAGATTTCTCTCTCTATATATATATGTGTGTGTGTGTGTGTGTGTGTGTGTGTGTGTTGTGTGTGTGTGTGTGTGTATAAAATATATGATGGTGTAGCTACTACACTTTAAAGACTTTTTATAAGCCTATTTAAATTTTTTGTTGCAGCTATTGGCTCCTCATTTAGACCATAATAGCATGCACATGCTGTTGATATCTTGTTTTGTTTACTGTTTAGATTTCAAATGGGAAAGTGCTTTTAGGAATTAAGAAAATGAGAGACGGATCACTGAGTTTGTGATATGGAAAAGTGTGTTCTTCTCCTTGGATCCTCCACTGTCTATTTCTGAGCCAGCATCCATTGAGTAGCTTTCTTCTGCCATTGTATCTCTGTCTTGAAGCTAGCCAGAAATGCATTGAATGCATTGTAACTGTGAGCAAAACAATAAACATTCATTCTTTAATTTTCTGGGGTTGGGAATTTGTAAACAACAACACAAGTGTGACTAACTGGAGCCACAGAACTGTTGTCATTGCAATGACTGCTCTTGAGTTTGTGATATAGAAGCCTTTAGAAATGATTGATAGAAGTTTGGAAAAATTTTGAGATGCTGACTAGAGAAATCTGATGATGCTGTAAGCTGAATTTAATAGGAGAGCCTGGTCAAAGTAAAGAAGACCAGAATGCTGATAGAAATGCTGAGTGTAAATATCGGAATGAAAAGGGGTCAGCTGAGAAGTTCTCCATTGAAAATTGCCTGTACATTACCAGAAAATTTGTCTTTATTTTACCCATGTACTGATACTTTGTGGAAGAATGAAATAGAGTGTAGTAGAATTATTAATCTGGCAGAGGAAATTTCGGAGCATTTCAATGTTCAGGATGTGGAATAGATACTACTAGCTGCTTTTAGTGACTTATAACTTGAAAATTATGAGCTTTATTATTCATTTGTTCATTTATTTTACATGAATACTTCTAAGAAGCTTCTTATCCTCAGAGAATATCTTGGGGTTTTCATAAAACAATAAAAACACTATCAAAAATTAAAGCTTCCTTTAGCAAATCTCTGACTTAAAATGATATTTAAAATCTGTGTTTGATTTTATTATGTGTGATGTTATGAACAGCTATTTTGAAGAAAATAAGACATTATGACAGTCATTGCTGATTTAATATCATCTTGCTTTGAAGTCCTACCAGGCTTTTGTTCTTCTGTTTCCATTGGTTCTCTCATATTGTATCTTATTGGATTTTAATATGTGTGAGAGTATAAACAATTTTTTATGGAAAATGAGATAATATCGTTGTTCATTTTGTTATTTAGTTCTGAATGCCATGTAATACTTCGATTCTCTTGAATGGTTTTATACTATTTTGGTAAGTTTGATACTATTGTATGTGAAGGTATGCTCAACTATTTCAAAGAAAGAGACATTATGTTAACTACTGTTTATATTGGGTTGTCTTGGGCTGAAGTACTGTGTTGCTTACATAGCTCTGTTCTGATCTTCGTGATTCTGTCCTCTTTTGTCTTAATCTCTTTAAAATAATAGAAAAAAACTATTTCATTTAGAACAAATATAAAAATTAAAATGTTTTGACTTAGCTCTCCTATGTCAAATAGACTTGATAAAGATGATGATTGGCTTATATAAAGAAAGGGATAAAAAATAAAACAAAGCAATCATTCAGAGCTTGAGAGAGAAGAGACAAAATTGGATTTCTTAAAAAAATGACATTTGAATGATATGATAATGCAGCAATTCTAAATGGTTGACAAAGTATATGAGAAAATATTTTTATTTAGCCATAACTATCATATGAAGGGAAAGGAGTAAGCAGTGACAAATAAAGAGGAGACATCTGATTCAAGAAATAAGCTAAATGTAAATAGAGGACATTTTAAAGATTGAACTAAGTTCTAAAGTAAATGTGGATGGAGGGGCATTGGTTGAGAAACAAAGTATTGCTGTCATATTTTTTATATAATGCATGAAACATATATAATATATTAAATGTAGATGTAAAACAATCTTGTTATAGAGTGCAAAGCATCAGTTCTTTAAAATGCTGAGAAACAGTGTAATGTTAAACTATAGAATAAGCAATAAATGTTTTTAGAGCTTTTATTCAAGATATTAACAAACTTATAGATATTTTTATTTCATTAATTCTTATGATATCAAAGCTTCTTAGATAATTTTAGTCTTCCTCGTAATATGCTAGAGAAAATAAAGGCACAAATACCATAATCAAAAAGTATAGAAAATCACATGGAATTACTACTACCATTGTTAGAGGAATTACCATTATCATCAAAAAAAGTTTTATCTTTAGCTGCAAAAATATTTTTCAGGTAAATGTTGGCAAAAATTTATTACTAATATAGGTGAAGACTTATTGACAAAATAAAATGTTATAGCTGACTGAAAGTCTTTTGTGAAATTTAGAAAGCTTAAGGTTCCTGTGATTATAAAGAGATTAAATAATTCCATATTCTTGATGGCTCCATGACCAATTCAAAATCAAATGTCCTATAACAAAATAAATATATTTTTCTCCTTACTATCATTATTGTAAAACCATATTAATTACAATATCTGTTATTAAGCTCCTCAGATACAGTGACTATTTTTTAAGACTTTCATTTTGATTAAATGATTAAATATGTTAAATTTAGATGGCTAAAATTTGACTAAATATTAGTATTTACCTGAAATAATTAATACAAAATTTTAACACAGCGGATTTCTATTACTTATATTTTCACTTTATTATGATGGAAAAAATTAAAACATATTTCTATATATGAAATAACCCAAGAATAGAATATGTTCTCTACATAAAATCTCTACTTAAATGAGGTCTCCTAGACAAATATTCTTTGTCTCTGCTGATTTAAAGTCATCTTGCTTTGAAGTCATAGTCTACATAAAATCTCTACTTAAATGAAATGAGCTCTCCTAGATAAATATTATTTAAGTTAGACTATCCAAAATACTCATAATTCTTTTTTTTTTTTTTTTTTTTTTTTTTTTTTTTTTGGTCTTTTTCCTTTTTTCGATACCAGGGATCGAACTCACGACTGCCCGCTTTCAAGGCAGGTGCTTATGCCGCTGAGCTAAACCCCCAGCCCCAATATTCATAATTCTTAAAAAAAATTGTTTTTGTTAGGTCTGGGAGAAGGGGGAGAGGCGGAGAGAGAGGTCCGCGGGAGGAATGGAGCGGAGTGGACGGCCGTAAAAGTAGTGGTCAGCAGTGGCTTTATTCCGGGACTGCGGGGAGGGGGCCCCCGTCACCGGCCCCGGGCGCAGCATTGCGCCCGGGGCGGGTGGTCTCTCTCTCTCTCTGGCGAACTCTCTCTGGCGAACTCCTCCGGCGAACTCCCCCGGCGAACTCCCCCCGACACGTGGCGTGGGGGATCTAAATAGCTTAAGCTTAGGGCAGTGCCCCAAAGGCCATTAGGCATGCACAGATATCCCATTGGCGCACAGGTCCTTAAGGATGGGGATACAGAATCACAATCAAGTCCATAGGGGGCAGGGTAGGGGAGGAGTT